AACCTAGACAGTCTATCATATGGCATCATACTAAAACCCACATGGTTCTCCAGCTGGGCTGGACCCTTTAGATTTTCTGTCACTTGAGCTAATTGAGTAAATAACAGTGATAAGTAAATAGTAAGTTGTCAAGCTTTAGGTGGACCAGTACTAAAAGAGGAGGAGACACTTCAGTAGCAGGACAGACACTCACTAACTGCAGAGGAATGGTGAGACTCAGGAATCTTGGGTTGCATTCTAGATTTTGGAGAAGAATGTTCTCGAATGCAGGAGTTCTCAATCTTGGTTCTTTCTGGGGCCCCTCCAACATACCATAAAAACTCCCCAGCCCACCTGTGCCATAGCAACTGTTTTCTGCATTTAAAAGCTAGGACCAGCGTTAGGGGATTGGGGCAACTGCTCAGGGACCAACAACACAGGGAGCCTCATGTGGCAGGACTCAGGCATCATCTCTCTGAAGGTGCATGTGACCCCCCATCAAGAAGCCATGGATCCCAGTTGAGAACTACTACACTAGTGCAGTGGTTCTCAAAGTATGATCTGTGACCATCTTGTAGGTGGGCCATGGACTCAGGGCTTACCCCCACCACAACAGGAAGCCTGTCTGGCACTCCAGCCCCGCAACTGCCCCCATGAGGTTGAAGCACCAACACTGGCTTCCCCATGTAGGGGGCAGAAGGGTCCAGGGTCAGGGAGCTTCGTAGGATGGATCCAGCTTGTGGGGGCAGGAAGCTGCTCCATGTGCTGCTGCTCCCCCTCCGCCCAGCTGGGGAAACGGCAGGGCAGGAAACCACTGTCTGGAGGCTTTCCCTGGAATCATGGCTCATGGGAGCAGTATAGAATAGTGCCTGGGAACAGGGGGATGCCAGGTATATGTCCCCCCTCTTCCTCATGTCCAGACCCCACTTCCCCATCTCCCTCATGCACCTCCTTCATGCTGAGACCTCCCCACCCTGCTCCTACACCATCCCTCCTGCCCAGACCCCGGCACCTGTACCCTATCTCCGATCCGACTAGGGATGTTAAAACACATTTATAGGTAAATATGTAGCCACTGAAAACATCAGTGATTATATGTTTATTATTTATTTATTTAAAATATTTGTAACCTGCCTCTCTATTTAAAATATTCAAGGCGGCTTACAAAATTTTTTAAATACAACACAAATATATATAAAAATATAAGACCCCTGAGGGACATAAAACCTGCTAAAAATGTCTTGAGAGGCGGAACACACACATACAGACTCAAATACCAATAAAAGTATGAGTAAAGAGAGCAGCTTTACACACAGCGGGGTAGGGGGTGGGAGGAGGGAGAGAACTCTGATACAGAGGCAGCAGCATGCGGGGGAAGGGCTTGCATGCAACTGTGAAGGTTTATAAATGAGCCCAGACCCCACCCCATCTTTGCACCTTCCCACCCAAACCCTGCTCACTCTGCTCCTGCACCCCCGCCCCCCAGCCAGCTCCTGCACCCAACCTCCCAGCCAGACTCCACCCATTCCTGCACGCATTTTGTCATCATGGGTGGTTGGCTGGTGGTCAGCTGAAAGGTGAGCTGTGTGCCAAAAAGTTTAAGACCCACTGCCCTAATGGGCACAGACTTCTACACTTTCCCTCCAAGCTTGATGCCTTTCCCAACGTGCTCTTGTCCTGACACAAACAAGGGTGGTAATTTCTGTAATTTCATTTCTATAGCACAATTTGTGTACATGGTGCTTTATCCACACCCAAAAAAGAGAAGGCTCTTGCCTTAGGCCCTGTCTACACTTGAGATGTTAGTGTATAGATGTTTAAACAATTAACCAATAAGCCTGGGTTTATCAGTTAATCCAAATGACTACATGCACTCCCCCCATTGCTGCTTCTGAACCAGAGGCAGCAGCACAGGGCAGTAGGGGGTTCTTCGGGAGTGGGGCCAGGAGCATGCTGGCTGCCAGCCCCACACATGATTATCTGATGGCCCCCAGGTAACTGCTAAGTCTTGGTGTGGTTACACGATTATTAAACTAAACAACATCTAACAGTCCTAGTCTACACTAGAAAAGTTTGTCTGCACAGCTATACCAGCAAACACTTCTACTATAGATGTCACTTAATCAGTTAACCAATTAAAGGGGGGGATGGGAAGAGGCTGTTTCAGCCCCGCAGCATTCAGAGACTGCTCTGGACCCCAGAGCAGCTCTTGCCTGAGGGGCGCCTGGGCCCACCACCGGACAGGGGCTGCTCCGGATGACCCGAGCAACTCCTGTCCATGACAGGCCCCTCACGGTGCTGGAGCAGTCCAATGCCCCTGGCAGGTGGGGAGCTGCATCAGCCCCACCAATTAACTTTAACCAGTAAGCCTCACCTGTTAAGGATCAGGCTTACTGGTTAAACATTCACATCTCTACTGGCAAAACAGTTCTTTTTTCTGATACAGCTTATACTAGTTCTGAGGGAGGGGAAGGGAATCTCTCTCAAAAAAAGCACATTTGTTTGCCAATAAAAAACTACATCTGCTCCAGGGCTTTTGCTAGCATGAAACTGATACAGAGGAAAAAAATCACATTCCTAACTGACATTAGTGGCAAAAATTTTGTAAACCTGGCCTTGCAGTCTAGGGTCTGAATAATATCAATTGTTCTTTGCAGGGAGACCACTAAGCTCAGACAAAGCCCCTCTAAAGACACTGAACACTTGGGAATAGCTTGCAGGATTACAGCCTAAATTTGAAATACAAACAACGAAGAGGGAAAGGCTGAAATGAAAGAACATGATTTGGTTTATTTTTAATCACAACTTGTTAGTTATAAAATTTTAATAACATTAAATGAAATAAATATATGGTGAAGCATAAATATATTAATAAATAGTTAATGGTGGATGACTAGTGGAAAAGGAGGTCCTGAAGGACAGGGATATTGACAACCTAAAATCAAACTCTAATCCTACAATCAGATCATACGTGAGAAGATTGACACTAGGAATGTTAAATATCAACTAACTAATCAAATAGTCAATGGGATCTCTATTGATTATTCAATTAGTGATAAGGGCAAGCACACATTCCATCTCTGAAATGTACAAGAGCCCCAGCAAGGAGGCCCCTGACTCCACACAGCATTGCAATCTTTGAAATGTACAAGAGCCCCTGTTGGGGTTCTTCTACATTTCAAAAAAGCACCACTGTGCTTCTGCCCCATCCCATGGAGCTTGAGGGAACCAGCTTTTAAGCTGGCTCCCCCTATCCTCCCCTCTACTCTTGCTGCCTCTTTGTGATAGAGGCAGCAAGGGGGGGAAGCGACTAGTTGACTATCCGGTAAGATTTTGCTTATTGGATAGTCGACTAGTTGATGAGATGCTTACATCCCTAGTTGACCCCAGTTCTGGGGAACAACCAACTGAAGACAATAAAGCCTCAATGGTCTGTGCAGAAAAAAAGGACCTGCATGTAATCAATAGTTTAGGCCAGAGACCTTGTGGGTTTTTTTTTTTTTTGGTTCCATAAATCATTGAAAGACCACACTCAATAATAAAATAATGTTGCTAGGGAATTTTTTTTGCAAGCAACTGGCCAGCACCCTAAGTTTTTCATAAAACAGTTATCAGACAGAAACTATAGACATTAGTATTTTTGCTGGATTTGACTGGGAGAGGAAAGGTTCATATATGATACAAGTAAATTTAATGGGTTATATGGCTACCCTGTTTGGAAAGAATACATGATGCACAATATAGTATTTATGAGCAGTTAGTAGAGGTCTTTGACTCTGCTGGGAAACATGCCAGCCCATATGGCTTACTCAAGAATCCCTTGCTACTGATGGGAGACCTTTTTGGCAGAATTATATTGTAATTATCATCATCACAGGTACCCAGTTTACACAGAGTCAAGGCTTTCATGCTGATAGGAACCACCTCTAAGATGAATGACAACGCTGATGCTGGGAAAAAAAGCGAATAGTCCTGCAGCACCTGGGAGCCTAACAAGGAACGTAGGTGGTATCATGAGCTTTGGTGGGCACAACCCGCTTCTTCAGATGCTGAGGAAAGCTCGTGAAACCATCTACATTTGTGTTAGCCTCTAAGGTGCTGCAGGACTATTCGCTGTTTTTTCAGTCACAGACGAACAAGGCCGCCCCTCCTACTCTTTCCAGCTGGGAACTGTGCGCGCCTGGGGGGCTGCCCCCGAAAGTAATGGAACAAATATTCTTCAAACAATTCAGCAACAAGAGCCCCTCCTGCAGACCAGCATGGAGGGGCGCCCGGGGGCCCCGCCCGGGGACACGCCAGAGCACTACGGGGAGTGGGATGGGGCGCCTGGAGCAGAGCAGGACTCACCGAGCCCGCTCCTGCCCACGGCTGCGGCGCTGCTGGCCGGGCCGAGCG